GAATATTTAATAAAAGCTAAAAACTACTGAATACGAATAAAATATAGTGAAAATATCAGCAGATTAATAAACCATCCATATTCTTTACGCACTGAAATTCATCAGCGCATAAAAATCGGTTTCTAAATGCATGAAACCGCGAGTGAAGCACGTTCTACGTGCTTATTATCTTACAATGCGCTCACGTTTACGGTTGCGCTTGAAGCTCATGCAAGTATACTTTGGTTCCAAACACAAGCGAAACCCAGTTCTCGAAAGTCCGTCTTCTCAAAGTAACAATCTCGGCGGCAGTTACGGCGTCTTCTGCTTGAACTTCGTAACATTCAAGCGGATAGCTCATTCGTATACGCAGTAGACTGTCGTGATTCTGCAAAAACAAGGAAATATTGGCTGAAGCTGATAAAATGGACAGTAGTAATTTTATGGGACCAAAGGCATATGACACAATGAGAAACAATTGGTCGAACAGGTGGCGAAAGTCAATTGGGAAGGAAAGTTGCAAGAGGTGAAAGTCTCATTAAGAGACAGGTGAAATTGAAAATTTGGTTTCAATCAACTTCTTGTTGATGAATCAGAACATCTGAAACTATAAGATATGACTTAGTGTAAAACACGGTTGCGTCCCAACCAAGGGGAACTCTTACATGTAATTAATGATGAGTACAAGGGCCACATGACTCCTCACCTTTACTTCAGAGGAATGACAGATATCTAATAGACAATCCAGCGCGCAATTATGAACATGAGTTTGCTGCTGCTCTACTGACTGAGATATCTCATGCGTAAGTTAAGCAAGTGTCTACACGACTGAAAAGAAACTAGATCCAATCTTTCAGTCCGTGCATTTATTCAGAATTACGTTTCTTCTCACATAAGATGACATCAGTAAGTAAACGCAGTGACACCTGATAGGTTGGACTCTAGCTCTTTTGAGAGAAGAAGATCATGGTTCCGCTTTTCAAAGTGAGAAGTCATCCTAGCAGAACACTAGGAAAGAACAGATGAGAATCTCCTAAAAAGAAACAAATAAAAAACAAACTCAAGCACAAGTTCAAGGAACTTGTGAAGCAACTGAGAATAAGAAAACTAACTAGTGGACTAAGCTGAAAGGGAAACAGCTACGGCGAGTAGGAAAGGAATGAAAGTTTGTAACCGTTGGAACGTCGGCCTCTATTACACTTTCATGATGGGACCAGTTGTGAAATTCTGCTTTTCATTAAGTTCATGGGTCGGTGATCAATATAGCCATGCCATCAGCCATGAGTGCTTTATTTTCTACAGACGGAACCGGCAGCAGTTATGCTGCTCCTGTTTCCTCCCCACAAAGTGGTACTCATTGATGAACCTCATAAGAAAGACGAGTGACCTGACCGGGGCTTGAACTCGGGGCCTTTAAGTCCGACGTTCAACCAAGTGAACAACCCCGGAATAAACTGTTGTGTGATGGCAACTCGGGTAAGACTTCACCTTGTGACATGAACATTTAGGCCTTGACGCTCGCTCGAACACTACGGTTGTAACAGCTTTGTTCTGTCAGACATCGCTCCTCATGAAACTTAATATTTTTAGTACTAGAAGGGCAGTGAACTAGCAATGGAACGAAACTACCAAAACGGATATCGATGATTCAGTACAGATGAA